ATTTAGATTCTAAATTTGCTAGCAAACTTATCAATATACAAAAGATTAAAACATCATTAATTACGTTAAAAAAACACCCAGATTCTATGTATACTAGCAAACATATAAACACATTAGAAATTATAGCTGCTTACAGCAAGTCTATTGAAATCAATAAAGCAGGTGAATTTCGAAGTTATAATTATTTCTTTTATTAATTGTCGCGGCTGATGTTTATGTTGAGACATGTGGTCTTAATTTGACTCTGTTAACCCTAATAAAATCCACATACTGGTATATTTTTTATTAATAACTCTAACAATGAACCCTAACCTAACCCTAAAAAAAGGCTAAGAAAAATGCATCCGAAAATTCATATCAAAATGAGGTCAATTCTTAGCATCAGCCGCAACATTAATTAAAAATAAAATTTGAAAAAGTTAAATTGCATTTACACCTAGATTCAAGGCTTCATGATCTTAGTATTTCACGCATTTTAAGTAAGATTAATTTATCAAATATTATAATTCTTAAATTACTTTAAAGGTTTTGTAAATTATTCATTTATTTATTAACTTTTAATACGCACTTAAGGATTATCTAATAATAACAATGGTATATTAATTTATGTATAGTTTATCTAAAAAGTATATGGTTTTTAACATACAAATTATTTAAATTTTAAATATATAGATGATAACAATCGCACACTTTCTTATAAAAGAAGAAAATTAGACATCAATGGTTGGTAAAACTTTTATTGATTGTTATTATGCATATATATTTATTAATAAATGTTTTTAGCCTCTTAGATAATTCTGAAGAAAATGCGTTATAAAAAAAAGTTAAACTGAATCTTATATTTTATTATTACAGCGAATTTACGAATTATATCAAAATCTGAAAATTTTGACCATTAATAAAACAATACTGATTTCTGACTGAATAAACTATGTTGCAGAAAATATCAAGCCAAGTCCTCCGTCAATATCTTTTTTTTCTTTTTTTTTTGATATCTAGTATGCTAAATAGAATCGTATGTTTCATAATCATGATCAAATATTATTTCCATTGTTATATTAAGATTACATGCTTGCACAATAATTTGAGAAATCTGGGTATCCTGATATTTAATCTGAGTCAAACGTGACAACTGACAACAGGGTATCATGTGTGCACAAGGGCACAAAACAGTGCAGCGGTTTATTATAGTTGTTTGACTATAAAAAAGCGAGAGTATTTAGGTATAGTAACATGAAAATGCAAAGAGTGCATTTTTGGCTTTAGAATCGATGTAATGTACCTTAGTAATAAAAAAAAAAATACCATGACAAGCTTGCCTACAAGTGCAATAAATAACGCCCATATACATAATAAAATGTTAACTAGTTAGAACGCTGCAAAGGTATACACCAAAATAGACTCCTAACAGACACTAATGTCACTACACCCTCCCACACACCATAACTAAACACAATAAATGGGCAAGAATTTTTCCCACAACTAATATATCTACATCATATATAGCTAAACTAAATCTAGTGGAGGCCAGGTAGCCCACTCTAGTAGAGTTTTGGGCCGAGGATAAACTAGTCCTGGCTGTAGGTCCCTGTAATAATTCATGTAACCCATTTAAACAATGTAACGCATAATTATTCAATAAAGACCGAGGCCAGGCCTCACTCTTAAAAAAAAATATATATATATATATATAATAAAAATGTTAACTAGTGAGAGTATACGGCATTTATATTTTAAGTGTCCCATTTTTACAGTACAATTTTCAAAATTCTTGTTCGAAATTCATTTGAGTAACTCATGCAGGATTCCCAAAGTTCTGGATTTATCGGGTCAGAATTAACCAAATTTGCCCAAAATTACTTATTTTAAAATTTTACCGGTACGTAGTAAACTTAAATATGTAGATCTAAGATCATTGCACTGCATTTGACTTTGCGTAGAACAATCAATTTCGATATGATTTATGATCCGAATACGCTTTCAAATATTAACGAAGTCAAAACTACCCATATTGACTTAAATTTTAATGTTGATTTTGAACGTAAAATTATTGATGCACTTGTTACTCTTAAACTTGTTACACTTGTCGATAATGTCGAACAAGTTATTCTTGATACTAGATGTTTGAACATTAAATCTGTTTCTTGTTCCGGTGTGCAATTGAAAGTATGTTTATAAATATACTAATGAAATGATTGAATTTTAGTCATTAAGTCTTATTATCTTTGGTTTTCAAGCATCAATTGGCAGATAGAAATGAAAAATTCGGTTCCGCTTTACATATTCAATTAAATAATAAATTATCAGCTAATACCGAATTCGACTTAGTTGTTAATTACAACACTTTGGAACAAGGAACTGCTGTTCAATGGCTAGAACCTATGTATTTGTCTTTTCAATAATGTTTGTAATCATTTATTAAAACAAGAATCTAAGCATTTATGATTTTACAGTCAAACCACTGGAAAGTCACACCCTTACTTGTTTACTCAATGTCAAGCTGTAAATTTTCAAAGTTTATCATTATATACTTATCATACCGTTTTTTCAGATATTAAATTTTTATCTTGACATTATTTAATAGATTCATGCTCGATCTCTTTTGCCATGTCAAGATACACCCGCATTCAAAATTTCCTACAATGCTATTGTTGAAGTTCCAACACTTTTACGTGCTTTGATGAGTGCTATTGAAGTTGGTGAAACAATAAATGTACAAAATAATACCAAGATTTATAAATTTGAACAAACCATTAAAATTCCATCATATTTGATTGCTTTGGCAGTTGGTAATTTAGTGGGTAAAGAAATTGGTCCTAGATCAACTGTATGGACCGAACCGGAGGTAATTGAAAGTGCTGCTTCGGAATTTGAAGATACTGAACAATTTATCGCGATTGGAGAACAACTTCTTACTCCTTATGAATGGAAAAAATACGACCTATTGGTTCTTCCTGCATCATTTCCTTAGTAATTATTTTCTTATTATATTTCCCTTTTTTTGTTTTAAAAAAAATTTTCTTTATTTCTTTAAATATAAATACCATCATTTATTGTAGTGGAGGAATGGAAAATCCCTGCCTAACTTTCGTGACTCCTACATTATTGGCTGGTGATAAATCACTTGTAGATGTTGTAGCGCATGAAATCTCTCATAGTTGGATGGGAAATCTTGTAACAACCTCTAATTGGGTATGTTATTCTGAAGAGTTTTATTTTTATTGATTTAAATGCATTCTAATTATATATTGGATAATAAACTTTAGGAACATTTTTGGCTTAACGAAGGCTGGACTGTATTCATTGAACGAAAGATTATGGGTAAATTAATTATTTGTAAAATTTGTATTATAAATTAGCATTAACATTATTTGTAAAATTTATATTATAAACTAGTATTAATATTATTTGTAAAATTTGTAAAATTTATATGATAGGTCGTTTGCATGGTGATAAAGAAAGTGAATTCGATGCAATCATTGGGTGGAGGTCATTGGAGCAAGATATTAAACTTTTCGGACCAGATAATGCCTTGACAGCATTAACTCCCAAATTGAAAGACGTAGATCCTGATGATTCCTTCTCTTCGGTTCCATATGGTATTGTTAATGAAGCATCTCATTTTCAAACATTTCATGCATAAAATTTAAATATATATATAACTCGATCTCGACGTTAAATGAAATTTATAGAAAAAGGATTCAATTTTCTTTATCATATTCAAAAGGTCATTGGTGGACCTGAATATTTTGAGCCTTATATGAAAGCTCATGTTCAAGAATTTGCTGGAAAATCAATTACTACTGATGATTGGCGAAAATTTTTATACTCTTTTGTGGAAAAAAATTTTCCTGAAAAAAAAGCCGCTCTGGATAATATTAAATGGGATGATTGGTTGCATGCACCTGGAATGGTACTTGATCTTTTTAATGCTGAATAAAATTAAATAAATTTTTAAACAAATTTTTGCATATTTATTTTTGTTTAGCCTCCAGTCAAAAATGAATTTGATCAAACGCTTGCAAAAGCATGCATTGAGTTGGCCGAAAGGTTTGTAATTTGATTGAAATTTACATCAATATTTGTAACAATCACAGTATATTTACATATTTGATTTTATAGATGGAATTGTGCTCGAAATAATAAAGCTTTTGATGAGTTTTCATCTGCTGATATTGAAAATTTTACTCCTGGACAAAAAAGTAAATATATTAATCGATCTTGTTAAAATATGTATTAACAAATGTTTGTTCGACTAATGTTTCTTTGATAAATCTTATAGTGGTTTTTTTGGAACGTCTCTTTGACTATCCACCTCTACCACACACAGTTATTGAAGCGATAAACAAATTTTACTGTTTCGTGAATGTGCGCAATTCTGAAATACGATTTAGTATGTTTATTGTTTAAAAATTTACATTTATATTTTAAATTCTAAAGTTCTGTTCAAAAATTTAACAATTATTATTTATAATAGGATGGCAACAAGTCTGTTTAAAAGCGGATTATGATCCCATTTTCCCTTATGTTGTTAAGTTTGTAACAGAGCAAGGTAGAATGAAATATGTCAGACCTTTGTATAGGTAAGTTTTAAACGTAATAATTAAATATAGTATTTAGCTTTTTTAATTAATTATATTTATTTTTAGGTTATTGAATCAAACAACGAATGGTTCAGAATTGGCAAAGAGTACTTTTAAAAATAATAGGTCGTTTTATCATCCTATTGCGGCAGCCATGATTGAAAAGGACATTCTAAAGGAATGTTAAATAATGTACAATAAAGACTCGATTCTCGAACGTATCTTTTTTAAATATAGTCTACTGTATTTACAGACGATAATTATTGTTTTACTTGGGAATTTATTGTTAGGATTTACCTTTTGTCATGCAAAAATGGTTTTGTATAAATATATATAAATTACGATCTTTTTTTTTTAAATCAAATTATGTTGCCTTATGCGTTATTTTCTTAAAAGCGTTGGTTTTTCATGTTAAAAAAATAAAAAGGGTATTTACGTTATCTCTTTACAGTAACCTTACAATGACTACTCATTAAACAATTTTTTTTATCCAAATTAAACCAAACTAAATTAATATTTTTAACTTTGGGCAACTGATTAAGGAAGCTTAATAACTTTGTCAAACAATTTACAGTTCCCAAAACGACCAATACTAATTGGGACCAACAGCCTAATGTACGCTACCAAGTGCTTAAACACTTTATGTCCATGTTATCAGCATAGTTCTGATTCCAACAATCAAAATCCATTTGATAACTTAATAATTCGAATTCCCATTTCCATCATATAATTCTAACTTCAA